AGCCATGTGAGATTGTTTTAAAAAAAATTAAACCAAACAATATCATTTTGTTATGATTTTTTTAGCTCCAATTTTATTTTTTAATTATAGTTATATAATTATATTTATTATTTAATATATTTTACCTTAAATATTATGTTGTAGTTAATTTGAATCATTTTGTTTCATTTGATTTTATGGTTTTTAACTTATATATGTTATGACTTGCTTTGAATATGACTTGTGATATAAAAAATTATTTTTTATTAAATATTTTTGGTATTTTTATTTATTTTTTAAATAATTATGATGTCGTCCGATTTTTTTGATTGATCGAATCGATTCAAATGGTTAAATCAGTGAACCGATAACATGACCGGTTTTGAAAACCATGGTGATTTGTTCATTGCTTTCGATCCTTTATTAAAATCTCCATTTCCCTTTAGCTTTGTATTTCCCTAGGGTTTTCAAAGTCAAAGCAGCCGCCATGTCTTTGAGACCGAGCACGAGAATCGATGCCCGCCGCAACCGCTACAAGGTGGCGGTTGACGTGGAGGAGGGCCGTCGTAGGAGGGAAGACAATTTGGTGGAGATCCGGAAAAGTAAGCGGGAGGAGAGTTTACTGAAGAAGCGCCGTGAAGGCCTCCAGGCTCAACAATTCGCTGCTTCTCTCCACTCCTCTAACGTCGAAAAGAAGGTAAAAAGTCACTACCGCGTTGCCAAAATCTTTAATTTTTGTTATTTAGGGCTTATTATTGCAGTTAGAGAGTCTTCCTTCAATGGTTGCTGGTGTTTGGTCTGATAATGGTGATGCCCAGCTGGAGGCGACTACTCAGTTTCGGAAATTGCTTTCAATTGGTACTGTTTTCATGCATTTCACTTTGTTTTTTCCTTTAATTTCTATATGTTTTTTCTTGAAGATTTTGTTTTCTTCTAAACAGAGAGAAGTCCACCTATTGAGGTAGTTATACAATCCGGCGTGGTTCCCCGTTTTGTTGAGTTTCTTACTAGGGAAGACTTTCCACAGCTTCAGGTATTAGTTATTGACTACTAATAACTATTTTTCAAGAATTATGATTTCGTTTATATGCTAATTTTGGTGGTGTTTTTCGGAATCTGTAGTTTGAGGCTGCTTGGGCACTTACAAATATTGCTTCTGGAACCTCAGAGCATACAAAGGTTGTTATTGATCACGGAGCTGTTCCGATTTTTGTTAAGCTTCTTGCTTTACCAAGTGATGATGTCCGCGAGCAGGTATGTGTAATAAACTATTCCCTTTAAGTGTGAGACTTGTAATTATGGGATCTCTGGAACCTCAGAAAATACAAAAAGAATGCGTGTTCTGTAGATAAACTGGACCGCCGTTAGAGTTTGCTATACACACATATAGACATTTAAAAACGCATACATCTACATGTTGCACTTTAGGATATAGAACTTTGTAATGAGTAATTTGCGTGTTTATGTGTAGGCTGTGTGGGCATTGGGGAATATTGCTGGTGATTCTCCTAGATGTCGTGATCTTGTTCTCAGTCATGGAGCTTTGATGCCACTTTTAGCTCAGCTAAATGAACATGCTAAGCTGTCAATGCTGAGAAATTCGACTTGGACATTATCAAATTTCTGCAGGGGCAAGCCACAACCTCCATTTGATCAGGTTTCATCTTGTTCTTTGCAATATTCCTTTTCTTTTAACTGAGCTTTCGTTGAGCTTTCAAATATTGGCAATCTGTTGGCCAGGTGAGACCAGCTCTTCCTGCGCTTGAACGTCTTGTTCATTCAAATGATGAAGAAGTTCTGACCGATGCCTGTTGGGCTCTCTCTTATCTGTCTGATGGTACTAATGACAAAATTCAAGCTTTGATTGAAGCAGGGGTTTGCCCACGTCTTGTCGAGCTCCTGCTGTAAGTAGAATACCTAAAATCATCTTTGGTTGTTTTCACATTTCTGTTAACCTGATGGCTTGCACTTGTGTTTCAGCAGTAATCCATCTCCTTCAGTGCTCATTCCTGCTCTTCGTACTGTTGGAAATATTGTGACTGGAGATGATTTACAGACTCAGGTATGGTTTAGAATTTCTCATATTTAGTCCTGCACCTATTTGTTTTTGTTTTATTTTGATCGTCTTGATTTTGTTGCCATTTGTTTTAGTGCATTATTGAGCATGGTGCATTAGCATGCCTTGTGAGCCTATTGACCCATAATCATAAAAAGAGTATAAAGAAGGAAGCTTGCTGGACCATCTCAAACATTACAGCTGGAAATAAGGAGCAGATTCAGGTGAGTAAATCACGGAAAATTGTGCTTCAAGCATTTAAAGAGAGAGTTGTTTTGTTGCTGGATTTTTTTATATTATTTTCTGCTTATTATACTTTAATTATGTAGGCTGTGATCAATGCTGGATTAATTGCCCCCCTGGTCAACCTACTTCAAAATGCTGAATTCGATATAAAGAAAGAAGCAGCATGGGCAATTTCAAATGCTACTTCGGGTGGTACCCATGAGCAAATCAAGTATGTAAATTTGTTTGTTGTTTCTTTTTGTCTTGTTGAACTTAAATTCTTTTCTTTCCGTTGTTTCCTATGATGCCCTGACTCTTAATTTTCCCCAACTGCACCTATATCTAATGCATATTCGGGTATGGGTGTGATTCCCCAAATACTTGTGTTGGGAAAATGTCCGTATGGCTGTACCTGATACTCATCCCGAGTCTAAGTAATATAGTTTGTCTTCTTGGTTTCATTGCCATATAACTGAGAACAAAATCATTCTCTTTGTGTGGATATGTAGGTACATGGTCAGTCAAGGCTGCATAAAACCACTGTGTGATCTTCTTGCATGCCCTGATCCTAGAATTATAATGGTCTGTCTAGAAGGGTTGGAGAACTTTTTGAAGGTTGGTGAAGCTGAGAAGGCTGCAGGTTCTGTAGAGTTTAACCATTGTGCCCAAGTGATAGAAGATGCCGAGGGTTTGGAAAAGATCGAAAATCTACAGACTCATGATAATAGCGAGATATACGAGAAGGCAGTCAAGATTCTTGAGACTTACTGGTTGGAGGAGGATGAGGAGACACTACCTCCCGGTGACGGTACACAGCAAACCTTCCAGTTTGGGGAGAATGAGCTTCAACTTCCATCTGGTGGATTCAACTTCAGTTGAAGGTTTGTCTAGTTAATACTTAATTGTTTTTCTTTTGCCGGATTTGGCGAAGTTAACCAGCAACTGTACTTGATCTAGTTTACTGAAATTGCAGGACTTCATAGGACACACAGTTCATAATGCAGGTTATGACTGATATCTGTGGTGGAAGCTTGGTCGGGGACACCATGATGTGTCTGGTTATTTAAGAGTCTGTCAGTGTCAAGCAGTGGTGAAGAAGTTGCCGCGGTTGGTCTATTGGTACTGTGATTTCCGATACAGAAGGGAATGCATACCGTTGTTACCAGAAAAGTTGCCAGCAAGGTATTTTGCATGTCTCATACAAAAAACAGGTCAAATGGTACATTGCTGCCATGGAGGTGTCCCTTAGGCTTATTACTGTATAAACAGGGCCCTTTTAACTTTAGTGGTATGCTGGTAAGTCTACCCGGTTTCAATAGCTGACTTGAGGTTGTTTCGAGTTGGGAATCATTTCTGGTTTCAGTTGAAGGCTTATCAGTATTTAACGCCTAAAACAAGCTCTATGTGCCCTCTCTTTCGGGTTTGGTCCTACTTGCTTATATTGTTTATGGGGAAGGTGTCGATTGTGTTCCCTTTGTCATTTTCAAATCTTAATGTAAAATTTTGAACAAAGGTATTAAAATGAAATAAAAATTAAACTTTGGGTATGATTTTAAAAAAATTGAAAGTTTAGTATTAAATCGAATTAAAATTAATAATTTAGGTATTAAACGTTAAATTTATCCTATTGTTTATTTGGATTTGAACTTTGACGTCACTGTAGACTTTAACTTGTCGTCATACGCTTGCCGTTCTCTTATCCTTTTATGTAATGTGATATCAATTTGTACTTAAATTTTACTTTTTGATCTAAATTGATATTTGCTATAAATGAATTATTTAAATTAATTTTCATGATTTCTATTTTATATACGTTTCTGTCATTAGAATTTATGAAGACTTAGAACTAGGGTAGCAGAGTAGTGTTGTCTTAGTTTAGGTTTTAACCCATTTGACTTTATTCTTTCTCGTAGTTTGTTATCATTGACTTTTGCGTATCATTCTCTTCAGGTTTTCTCTTTTTAAATTTAGACGGATCTTACGTTTGTCTATATGCAGAAATTTTTACATAGGGATTTATTTGCAGGGATTACTTCCTATTACAGATGCGTGTATGAAGACTGCATATGAAGAGTGTTCAATTATATATTTATTTATTTATTTATACATGTATTTTACATTTTATTTTTATTTTTAATTTTTTAACTGTCGGAGATCTTCCACGGAAGCTGCTCTCAATCCTGGCGTTGAGGGTAGTCTACTACCCTACCTCCCTCTTATTCCATTGCATATGAGAATAGGATTTTGTTGTTTTTGTTGTATCATTTTGAATCTAAAAGATAAATTCAAGTACTTAATTGGATTAAAAAAAGTTTAGATATCAAACTAAACTTTAAGATCTAATTGAACAAAAAATATTAAATATTTAATTCCAATTTAAAGCTAAGTTCAAGCATCAAAATGTATATTTATCCAATTGTAAAATCAATGGAAGTGGGAAAAAAATGATCGGTGGCGTTTTTTTTTTCATTTAAGAAAAGCTCTTAATTTCTTTTTTTAGATTTTGGCGGGTGGCAAAGTTGGATAAAGCTATATCCATCAATGGCGTTTCAGTCATTTCACACCAATGAGCTAGGGTTTCGAGTCCCGTTTATAAAGAGTTTTCTAGCTTTGTACGACTCGAAAGTTTTCCTTCCTTTTTCTTTCGTTTTCTCTCGAGAGAAAACTAACAGTCTCTCACTCTGCCTTTGATCAACACAAAACAGAGCCACCTACTGAACTCTCCACTTCAGTTTTGGATTAACTCGTTGCTTTGATCACTTTTCCTTTGTTCTTACTTGTTTTTCTTGTTTCTTTTAATCATTTTCCATCTGGGTTTTCCTTATTTTGATCCATTTTCACTTGAAACTTCACTACCCATTTGAGATTTATCTGTTATACAACTTGGGTTGGCTTCAGATATTTGAAAAAGCCAACATGCTGGATCCAAGTGAGAAAGTTAGTGATCATCAGTGTCCTTCATTTGATCATAGGCTTAACTTCCCATTTTCTCTTGGCTGATTCACTTACTATTATTTTTTCTCCTGCAGGGATCAGATTCTGAAGATCAAAGTAATGGACACCCAGGAATGATTTCACTAAAGGGATCTCAAAATCAAAGCGTCTTCAATGAACAAATCAGGAAAACTTGTGCTGATTGTGGTACTTCTAAAACCCCTCTCTGGAGAGGCGGCCCAGCTGGTCCAAAGGTATTAAGCGATTCAACGTTTTTTTATCTTTAATATTTGATTTTCGTTTCGTTTCGTTTAATATTTTAATTTCAATTTTCAGTCATTATGCAATGCATGCGGGATCAGAAGCAGGAAGAAGAGGAGGGCAATCATAGGGTTAAAGAAGGGAGAAGACAAGAAATCAAAGAAGTCATCAAATAACCCTAAAAATTTTAGGGACAACTTGAAGCAAAGATTGATGTCACTGGGAAGAGAAGTTTTGATGCAGAGATCAACGGTTGAAAATCAAAGGAGAAAATTGGGTGAAGAAGAACAAGCTGCTGTTCTTTTAATGGCACTCTCTTGGGGCTATGTTTATGCTTAATCTATTCTTTTAGAGCTAAACACTAGGATCTTCCATGGGTATCTAACCATTATTAAGTGTAATCTCTGGTGATTTATAAATTCTTTTAGTACTAATCAAGTGTAAGAAAATTTTGAATGTTCTGTTTTTCTTAATCTAATCGTAGCAGTAATGTATGTTTCTGGGATCTGATTTATCCACTTGTTTTTTTAATGGATGAAAATAAATTGGAAAAGAAAATGAAGTTCAATGAGAAACCCAGAATTTTCTTAGGCGCCAAACAGCACAAAAGGCAATATACTTTGGGTGGGACTCAAATCTCTTTTCCATGCTTTAAGCATGGAAGTTCATGAATCTTGTTTTCACTAAAATTAATTCATTACCAGAAAACTTATTGTCTGCAGCAATCAAATGGTGTAATTTAACATAAATGAGGATTCAATGCCCAGACTTATGTCTAGAGCAATCAAAATGGTATATGTACGATCACAAATCAATTCCAAAATAAATAGAAGAGCAAATATCTTCCGTTTATTGGATTTAGAAAGCCTCCAATGCCTGCTGATGTTTAGAAACAATCCTCCACAACTCGGAATGCTGCTGTAAAAAGTCAGCGATCACCCCAAGTTAGTTGGTCACGATGGATTTTGCTAACAAACAATAACATTTTTCGAATGGAATTCTCCGCAGTTATCTTCCAATGGCGACTCGTCCGTTCTGATTATCCGATCATCTGGTCCTGCTATGTTGAAAAGAAACTTGCAGCACATGATACTTATAAAGGAACTTGCGGTTCTTGCCTTCACGGAAGGCAGCAAATCGGGTTTCCTGAAGAAACATGATCTTGAGGTCCCGATGATTGGTTGCAAAAGATAATATGTACATAAAATGCAATTATAATGGCAAGAACTGGCGAATGATGGGAGGTTGTCTACGCCGGAATATTGTCCAGGGAATACCCATCGAAGTCGAATTCATTTTCAGCTCGCGCAATGCCTTGTTGCTGCTGGAAAATCCAATTTCAAATGTAAGTGAGTTTCCCCATTGATAAGTAAATAATAAGAAAAAAGAAATAACCTGCGTCAGAAGAGCACTCATGAGATCTTCTTGTCCAAAATGACTGATGAATAGATTGTCAGGGTTTACATCTGCAACACTCTCGGTCTTGACCCGAACTGTGTTGTCAATGGGAAGGGAGTTGAGTTCCTGATTGAAGTTTAATGGATTCCCTGGCTCCGTGCCATCTCCTGCTGAGAACATTGCCTTGCTTACAACGGCTGCACTCTGGTTTTGTCCGTTCATTTGGCCCGAAGAAAACCCTTGTTGAACTAAAATCGATTGCGAAAGATCAAGGTTGCCTTGTAGAGAGTTTGAATGCTGAGGGTCGTCAAATGTCATACCTGCATTCCGTAGCTCCCAGTTTTGGGGTTTATGTTGATTCAAGTCATCAAATATGTCATAACTTGGCATGATTCCCACTGATCCTTTAATCTCCGAGATAAAATCTTCCTGAAAAGTCCCTTTCGATATGCGACCAGACATCCCCGGTGCACTTCCAAGGGGGAAACCATTACCAGGTAGTTCTGAAGCATGATTCACGGGGAAATTCAACATCGAAGTGGTCTGCGGAACTGGATTATAACCAGGGGCTCGGATACTTTCTCGAATACCATTTTGTGTGGAGACATTGGCAGCAATTCCATTTGATATCATAGGCTGCCCCATGGATAACGGAAGTCTGGGAGCATGAGCAAACTGTGGCTGACCCATCGGCATCAATAATGAATTATTTTGGCTACTTTGCACACCATGGGAAGCGACTTGCATATTTATCAATGACGAGTTACTTTGGCTACTTAGAACACCATAGGAAGCTACTTGCATATTTATGTTTCCTATTGATTGTGAAGTGGTAAGCTGCTTCGGCCCCATAGTCGTCGGAATTCCATGAAGTAAATTTATTTGCTTAGTATTATTCATAAGTTGTTGCTCCCCTTCTCTAAATCTTAACTTTGGATTATCAAAGCTAAAAACGTTTCTTTGATCAACAAGGGGCATAGGTATGTTCGATTTAGCGGTTGACTGACCAAGGGCAGCAGCTTGGAGTGTGGCGAGACATTGTGCAGGAAGTTGACCACCGGCAGCAAGAGCTTGAAGATCAAGCCCGTTAACTGATGATAGAGGACCAAAAGTTTCTCCTTGGGGATTCATAAAAGAAGCATTCAGATTACTCGAGTGCGGTGATACCCCACTCAGCCTTCTAAGATACAAGCGAAATTTCTGATCACAAAAATAATGAAGTGTTCAACGTCAAAGAACCAAACAAAAATTCCGATTTCCGAGCATTATTTATATGCAAGTGTAGTCAAGTAAAGAGTTTGCTTATTTATTGAACATGTATCCTACCTGAAGATGGCTGGCAACATTTTCTCTGGTAAGGCCGGGAGCATTCATCAACTCCAAAATTTTCTTCGGGACAGCCTCTGGAGAAGAAGATCAAACACCACGTAGCAAATATGAATGAAGAGAAACACCAAAACATCAACAGGCAGATAGTTGTGGTTGAAGTTAGTTTAAAACATATCCTTAATATTTAAGTTATATAAACAACAATGTGATACGACATTGATAATTGAATATGTCGCTTAGATTTGATCCATGCCAACCAAGGGAACGCACTTCAACTCAGATTCTCGAGTTATTTGCCAGAATGAGTATACCTGTGTCCTGTATTTGACACCCAGACCCAAGTCCGAGTAACATGGTGCAAAAGTACAAGAGTTTCACACCAGTGTAAAATAAACACTATCACTATATGCATACTACTATGACGAAAAGATGGAGGCATTTTGCAAGTAAACATAAGCAAAATGAAAGAAATGGGTAAAAGACTCATACTGTCAATGTCTAGTTGATTAACTGCTGCAACAAACTGTTGATGGAGCTCAACGGACCAGACAACCCTCGGCTTCTTTAGTGAGGATGTATCATCTCTATCATCGGTTTCATCCTCGTTATCCTTCCTCTTTTTCGAGCTTTTCCAATTTCCTTCATTAGCTGAGGATGAGTAATCTGCCTCTTCAGATTGTTTTTGCTGCCGATCTCCTTCTTCTACACATCCCGACTGCTCCAAGTCCTTCCACCCGTTCTTCTTCTTCCGAACGACATGCTGCCATATGTTCTTCAGCGCCTTGATATGAACTGGTTTGATTAGGTAATCACAGGCACCGTGTGTAACACCCTTCATAACAACATGTTTTCCATCATCTGCCGACATCACTGTAGAAAATACAATTCGAGGTATGAGGACAGAGCATACTCCAAACCCGATTGAAATAACCGATCCATGGCAACTAAATCCATGCCAAACATATACGATAAGAGTGCTTACTGATGACAGGGAGATCCATCTCCAAACCAATATGCTCAAGCAGTTTGAATCCGTCCATGTCCGGCATATGAACATCGCTGATAACGATATCGATCCCGTTTTTGTTCTCGCGAAGGATCGACAATGCCGTCTCTGCTCGACTGCACTTGGTAACTGAAAAAACAATACAAATCACACCAATCATCCATCAAATTAAACGAATTCCAACCTCTTAGCTCCAAACAATCCGAATCCGCAAGAATAAAACGACTCCCTATGTTTTTATGCACAAATCAAATTAATGATCATCGACAATTCATGTAAACGATATACCATTGAAAACCCATACCAGAAACATAAAATTAGCATACTAAACACAGAAATCAGTGATCAAAACGAATAATTAAAGAAAACCCTAGAAAGAAATTTGGAATTTCACCTTCGTATGAACAAGTTCTTAGCATCTTTTCCAAGATTATGAGACACGTTGGATCATCATCAACAACAAGTACACGCAGACCAGCAGGGAACTGATCCGGAACTGAATCTACTGCTTTCCAAGCAGCACTCGAATTAATAGTCGACATGGATCCCTCTCCACCACTTTAAAACCAGATCCGAAACAAGAAAACAAGGGGAAATTTTGCAGAAAGATGCTGGTTTTCACATGCTTAGACTTCAACTAACTCGACAAGCATCCAAAAAGAACAAAAGATTGATACTTGATGCCCAGAGTTGAAAATTCAAAGAGACCCAAGTTGATATAAGGTAAAAACTGAAAGAAAAAGTGAGAAATTCTGGATTATTTAGAATAGATAATTCATTCAAGTTGAAGTTCACTCAAGCTTTTTTTTCCCTTTAAATAAAAATTAATTATTAAATAATTATTGAATTTTTTATTCGAAAGTGGGTCAGTCCTATACAAGTGTGGATCCAGCTCACATTTAAATTTTTTATATATCTTAAATTATTAGTTTTATTTTGATAATTTATAATAAATAGTCTTAATTATATACTTAATTTGTTACTATAATTATAAATTTTTATTATAATTCGAGAAATTTTTTATTTTAAATAAAATTAATTACTTTTATAAAAAAAATTAGTATACTCCAAACATCCAAATGTATTATATTAATCAATGACTAATGAATAAATTAGGATGGGTTTATGACTCGTATTTGATGAATTTTAATTCAATTTAATTTTATAAAATTAGGTTTTAAATTTGAATTTAGATCGAGTATTATTGAGATTTTTTTTTTGAAATATAAGATCATTGGGGCTCAGGTTTATAGTGAAAATATTAGACTCAATCATATTCAAGAATAATAGTATAATTGATCTTTATATATTTAAGGATAATTGTTATAATACTTTTTTATGTATATATTTTTTTCAATTAGGTCCATATCTCACTTAATAAAAATGAAACATATATACAAATATATGTGTGTGTCATGTCAAGTTAAGTGTGGGTACAAGGTTTTATCTTAAAAATCTGGTCGAAAAAGTTTAAATAAAGTTTGAGTAATGAAATGGTATTAGAATAACGTAAAATTTTTAGTAATTAGTGGATTAATTTTCAATTTAAAGTTGAGTTCTTCAACTCTGCATGATATACGTATATCATGGAAAAATATGAAAAAATATATATACATATCATATATGGTTATAAAAAGTTGTTTAAATTGAAATCAATTAGTATTACAACATTATAAATATTTACAACTAAATTTAAACAGATGTACGTACAACTCGAATCGAATCAACTAAAATTTCAAAATCTCAACTTGAAAAAAATCAAATAAAATTTAAATTATAAAATACACTTGTCAATTAGGCTAAGTAAAAAAATTTACTTAATTCAATTTGATTGAACGCTAACTCCTAACTAAATAGACAAAATAGTTACCAACAGTTTAACAAGTCTGATATTTTTTGTTAGCTGAATTAATTTGATAAATATATAAAGACTTGAGAACTAAAAGAGATGACAAAAATTAAAAGGTTAAAACGATTTTTTGAAAAATTAAGGGCTGAAAATGTAATTAGACCACAATTTTACCAAAATCATAACTCCAAAAGCAATGTGGGACCCACAAAACCGATTTACAGGTGTCCACGTCAGCGGAGAGGCAACTAGTATAACGTGAAGTGTCGAGGTACCCATGGTGGGTCCTTTCTATCAACCATAATAGGGCAACAAAAAGACAAAAGGAAAACATTGGAACGTTTAGGGTAAATTATCTTTTTAGTCACTAAACTTTAGGATGATTTCATTTTATCACAAATGTTTTAAAAAATTACATTGTAGGTATTATATATTTTTTTAATTTATTTTCATTACAATCAAATTCTGCCATGAACAGAGTAGTCAATTGTCATTCTGCCAAGAGTACCGATCTTCATAGTCATTTCGGACTTGATGTAAATCAAATTCAAGGGTATTCTTTTTTATTGAAAAGCAGTAATAAACTTACAATAGGTTCATATTGAGTTCATCATTATCTAGAGAGCTTAAAATAATTGTAGGAGGGTCTTCAAAAACAGACACGTCATAACCAAGATGAGTGGGAGACTTGGCGAGTGCATCTGCATGTAGGTTGCCTTGGCGAGGGATCCATTGAAATACTGTTGCCCAAGCTGTCTACCGAATCTTGTCAATGGCTCGAACAAGAGGCAGAGTACTAAGGGTAGTACCAACTGCGCCGAGGAGTTTGGCAGCTTCGAGAGGGTCTGTCTGAACCAACAGTAGCTCAAAACCGTTATTCCATGCAAGTTGCAGCCCTATTAAGATTGCCCAAAGCTCCTATTGGAAAAGTTGCGTAAATCAATGGCCTTGTTAAATCCTAATAACTAGGTACTCTCATGATCACGGAAGAGGCCTCCAACAGTCCCGTATCTGGTGAGATTAGAAACGGAGCCATCTACATTTAAACAAATCCAAGTATCCAACCATGATGAGGAGATTTTCAAGTGACTGGGATGTTAGCAGGATCACTAATCGGAGTAGTATGGACTCTACTTTCAACATAGTATCTAAACCAAGTGATGCTTCTGGAAAGGATATCCCTAGCTGAACGGGTGATGTTATTGAAGACTCGATCATTGCGGTTTTTCCACAGCTGCCAAAGGGTAGAGACAAAAAGGGATTTCCAAGGAAGATCCCATTGCGTGACTCTGAGCGTGTACCTGAGGTTAGCATGAATCCAGTCCTGCAGTGAAGCTTGATAGAACTCGCTAGTGGGGAAGGAAGAGTCAAAGAAGGTCCATACTTCTTTGGCAACCGTACAATCGCGCAAAACATGGAGGATCGATTCCTCCTAGGAGTTGCCTCAGGGGTCCCAGGGAAGGGAGCCAAACACCATTTAGGGGTCGAGTTGAATTTCCATTACCAAGAGACCAGGCGGTGCTGCCTTTGAGATCATCCCAGGAGTTGAAAATTACTCGCCACACAAGGGAGCATTTAGACCTATACACCGAATCAGGACAAAGGTGAATCTATTTATATTTTTGCCTTAAAATACACACCCATAGAGCATCGAGTTTAGTAACCACTGAGTAACCGATCTTTAGAATAAAATCCAGAATTGAAGTCATAGATTCTCCGAATGCTGAGGGCCCCGTTATCGATTGGTTGACAAAGAGACTTCTAATTAACAAGAGAGGGTTTCGAAGTTGAAGGCATGGCACCCCAAATAAATTGACGGATAAGGCGTTCTATTTTATTGCACACAGATCGTGGGAGAAGAGAAGTCTGTATAAAGTAGACCGGGATAGTCGCTGGGACAGATGTAGCAAGGGTGATTCTGCCCGCCATAGAAAGGGAGCGAGTTGCCCAACCACAGAGACGATTACGCATGTTATTGATGATAAAGTCATGATCCGAGCATTTAGGTCTGCTATGGAGAACCGGGACACCCAAATATTTTCCAAGTGTGTCAACCACTTAATAACCAAGAGAGCAGCTTATGTCCTTCTGAAGGGGTATTCGGTGTTAAGCAAAAAGTAGACGAGTGTTTTCCGCTGAGTGACACGGTGGCCAGAGAACTTGCCAAACACTCGGAGAGATCGGAATACCATTTTTCACGAATCTAAAGGGAACCCATCTTCCGTCGGTGACCGCATTATTAATTAGATGTCTAAGTCTTTTCATGACTAGAACAAAGAGATAAGGGGACAAGGGGTCTCCTTGTCGAATGCTTCGCTGAAGGATAACTATTTGGGAGAGTCGACCATTCCATTGTACTTGGAAAACGGAAGTGGTAATATACTCCATATGATCCGAATAATATTCGGCGGGAAGCATGCTTCAACATCGAATCATGAATAAAACCTCATTGGACTCTATCAAAAGCTTTCTCAAGATCAACCTTGATAGCTAGTCAACTGTCTTTGCATTTGTAAGACTTCATTGTTGTGTATATCACTTCCTGATTAATAATGATATTATCGGTGATGTTGCGTCCCGAAATAAAGCTCGTACGAGTTTACGTCCAGAAATTCAAAGGTATTTAATCGATGCTGATTCCAAATTTTATAAACATATTTTTTAAGGTCCAACATTTTCGGTTCGACTTAAAGCGATTTCAACCCTAACACTATCAACATTGAGGCACCAAGAACATGGATTTGAATGGTACTTGATTGGAATGTCAAGACAATAAATGTCGAATATAAATATTTATCTGATGCAAATAATTTAAATATTTTATATTTAATATATATTTAAAAGATATATATTTATATTCATATAAAAACATATATTGTTGTAAAACTAAAAAAAACAAAGGTTTTATGTATACCAATAATTTCCTAATGGTGCCTCAATGATCATGAGTTACATGTTACATGAAAAAAATATAAAAATTTCGGGTCAAGTTGCCAAGATGATGAGAGGAGAGCCTTACCATGTGAATTGTGGGATAAATTGTACTTTTTGGGGGAATTTTATATCTTTCACATGACATTTTCCTTAGTCAGCAAAACTAATCATGGTGCAATTTGAAACTTAAAAGAAACCTTAATTTTGCATCTAATTGCTCTAATTTTGTACTTTCTTTATTTTTTTAGGTTAGATTAAAAAGAGTGTACCAACAATCGGTTGGTCTAATGGGATGAGGTACTGAGTCCCTTAAGCAAGGTCAGGGGTTCGAATCCTGGTGTTTGTAAATGGAGCAAACTGGGTTGGGAGGGTCGTCCTTGTCTCTGCAGTACCCGAACTGAATTAGTCGGTCAATAAATTGGATACCAGAGGAGTATGAAATTCAAATAATACTAAAATAAAAAAAAAAACTAAATGTTGGATTCGTAAAATTTGAGTATTAAAACATATCAAAACTAATAGTTTAAGTAATAAATGCGTACTTTACCCAAAATAATATAACTATCTTTTATATTTTTAAGGATAATTACAATCATAATTATCTTTTTATTTTCTCAATTAGATTCCTAATTTACCTAATAAAATTAAAATATTATATATATATTTATATATAATATGTCAGGTCATATGTAAATCTTTATCTGACAAATCATGTTGGATTTCAAAAGGATTGGAATCTTTTTAAATTCGGATCAAATTAAATAATATATAAATAGATAATTATTTTAATCGAATTTAAATCGAATAAAAATTTGATCCGACTCGATCCATATTCATTCGTATATGCATTTGCATATCATCATTGTTGCTTTACAAAAAGACACTAAATTAATATAAAATTGGGGGGGGGGGTTTGATTAATGTAGACTAGACACTTTTCTTTTGTTTCGAAACTTTGGTGTTATGTAGTTATAAGTAACGCAGTTACGTTAGG